AGCCCGCCAGCTATGGAGGCTGGGCTATGGCGCTGCCCTCAGCAGCGCCCTGCTCCCTGCACGACCGCACGTGCTAGCACCTCTCCTCTCAGCGCTAGCAGCAGCCCACGAGCTTCAGCTGCAGCAGCGCTGCCGCCAGCATGCGAGTGCCCAAATGCCTGGCCAGGGAGCGAGCTCTTTATGGAAAGAGCCTGCCTCATTCGGCAGCCTGGCTGGACTGGCCTGGGCCCAGAAGTTTCCGGTAGGCCCCACGATGTTGCGCCTCTCTTGCAGCTACCGGGCCTCGTTCGGTTGGGCCTCCCAACAGTCTGTCTATGCGGCTGCGATTCTCGTCCAGGGCTTGCATCATTTTGGAAAGGCCTGGAAGGTCTCGCTGCCCGACCTGTGTTTTTCTCAACCAATTGGCACGATGAAACTGCCTGGACCCCAAATACAAAATTGACAGCTGAGGGCCTCTCTTCATTTGTTAGGCCCGCCTTCACTTAGGGCGGGCACAGATGCAACAGGGGCCCCCTTAGACCTGCCGAGGGTCCGAATCCTCGCAATAATATAATAGCACTATATTAGCATAAATATGAAGTATTTCATATTAAATTATTTATAGTTCATATTGACACTATTGCAATCAGACTCGACTTATTCACACTTTTCATGCACGTGAACAGCAGAACAACAAACTGGCGATATGCGCCCACACAGAACTCAGAGATATGGCTTCCTAGTAACAGTTCGCTTCCTCTGGCTATGGCGACTGTGCGCCTCAAACAACTCGCTGTTCACACTCGGGATCACCCTGGATGTCCCACACGTGATACTCAGAACACACACTCAGTACACACACTCTGCACCCTACACTACGCTATGGCAGCTATGGCTGCCGCTACCTATCACTATGACTACACTGCTTCACTCTCGCCCACTTCGTCTTCGGGCCTACTGCAGACCTCCTTGCACAAGCTGCTATGGCAGCGCTTCCGCATGGCTTCCGCAGGAATGAATGAATGGCTGGGCGCAGCCTCTTGCKTTATACTTYTGTGATGCGTTGGTCTGCCCYKTATCCCTTGGCCCACGGTGTGCACAGTCYCAGACGGTACTTGCTTGACTGGACCGGAYTGGGTGGACTGGGACTGCTGACTGTACGAGGTGGACTGCCACCACTTGACCACTTGCCTCTGCCTAACGTAGGCTGACTCCGAAAGGCCACTTCTAGAACTCTCTGTTTTGGCCTTTCGGTACTGTAGCAGCTACGACTTTGCCCTTTCAGGTAAGTAGCAGCTGCGACCTTGACCCTTCGGGCAGTCTACAACTACGACCTCTAGACTGTCTAGACTCCTACCCGACAGGTCTACAGTTCGAATCTCTTCTACCCTGTAACCTACGAAATCCTACCTACCACTGGCAGTCCTACAGGTCGCAGGTTCAAATCTGCGGGTTGACACCGGTACTGTACACAGGTAAGATGGGGAACTAGGGATCGAGTCCTGGGATCTGCATCAGCTACTGCGAACTGGTGAATACCGTTTCACTCCCGCCAGCCTAAATTCGAGGTCCTCCGAGAAAATTTCAGCCCAAGGCAGGACCTTTACCTCTCTGTTGTCTCTCATAGGCCCGGACTATATCGGGAGCTGTCTCTAGAAGTTCAAATCTCGTAAACCAGCGGTCGTCTTCCGGTTCTTGATAACTAAGATGAACCTTGTACTGTCTCTGTGAACGACCTCTACCTCCAGTCCTGAAGACATCTTCAACCACTATACCATCGATGTCATATCTTCCATCCATATCCGGTGGGATCATCGACTTACGGGATGGAAACTGATCACTTGTTTGACGAGGTAGCAACTTCGATGTATGAAAAACTGGGTAAGTGTGGAGGTGTGTCGGGAGTTCTATGGTGTAGGACGACCCATCTTCTCCGCCTTCGACTTCCAAGACTGGCCACGGTCCTCTATAGGTGGGCAATAACTTTTGCAAGATGTTCTCCTCAGGGGCAAACGCTTTAGAACTGACCCAGACTAAGTCGCCTACTTGAAACTGTGAGGGGCGACGATGCTTGTTGGCTTGCTCTATCATCTTGTGCTGGGCCTTCCTGAGGTTTTCTACAACAGTAGCTAGTTCTTTTTCGTGTTGCATAGCAAACTCCCTGGTCCCGGGCGACAATCTATGAATCTGATCCCGGTTGAGTCCTTCAAATGGTCTATGGGGCCTAAAGGACTTGTGCAGTTCGTTGGGGGTGCGGTAGGTGGACAGATGCACGCTGTTATTGTACACACTAGCTACTTTAGGCAGCATCTCATCCCAATTAATCTGATCTGGCCTAATGTACATGCGCAGAACTTGCTGTAGGATCTTGTTCATCTGCTTTATTTGACCGTTAGTCTCACGATGGCGGCCGGACGACATCAACAACTTAGATCCGTATACTCCCATGAGTTCTTGCCAGTTCTGGCTGGTGAAGCAACTATCTCTATCGCTAACTATAGACAGCGGGATTCCATTCTCACTAACCCAACAGTCAAAGAACCTCTGTATGACTAAATCAGTACGCGCCTCTGAAGGCAAAGGAACAAAAACTGCGTACTTACTAAAATGGTCAACTATGACCATGACTTGGCTCTTGCCATGCCTGCTCTTGACCTGAGTGTCCATGAAGTCTATGGACACTGAGTCTCCTGGCTGATCCGGAATGGGCAAGGGTCTGAGAAGACCCAATGGGGCGCGCATAGAAGTCTTGTTACGCTGGCAGACTTTACAACTGCAAACATACTCCACGCAGTCATTCTTCATTCCTGGCCAGGTATATGCGCGCATCAGATTGGCTAAAGTCTTCTGCCAACCAAAATGACCCTCTGTGTCGTGGCATTCTCCCAAAATCAGACTACGGATCTCTTCACTATTGGGAATGCACAGGCGGTCAAATACATTAGTCTTCTAAAAAAACAACCCTTTCGTAGTGCGGTAGTTTGGCTCAGTCTCTGGGGCCTCCTTGACCTTCTTGAGGAGGTTACTATAGATAGGGTCCTATGCATAGGCTTCTCTAATTTTCTGCTACAGGTCCTTCCCTATGTCTAAGTAATGCACTATTGCCCCAAAGTAATCAACTCTCCTACTCAGAGCATCCGCAACTACGTTATACTTCCCCTTGACTGGCTTGAGCTCGAAGTCGTACTGATCTATTTCTGCGGCCCACCTAGTAAGCTTAGGTGTCATCTTGACCTGCATCTTTAACCATCTTAACGTCTCATGAGCGTAGAGTTCCCTCTCATAGGTAGATGTCGCGACCTTCTCTGAAGGCATCCTGGCGGACATGAACTCTACGGGTCTATAGCCATTGCCATCGTCTTGCTGTAATACGACACCTATGCCGTACTGACTAGCGTCCGTAGTGACGACAAAGGGCAAGGACGGATCGGCTACCTTAAGGACCGGGTACTCTATCAATGCCTGCTTTAACTTCTTCATGGCAGGCGTGCAGTCCTTGTCCCACTTCCAAATGGTTTCTTTCCTCAACAATCTGCGAAGGGTAGCAGCGATGGTGGAGAAGTTCCTCACGAACTTCCTGTAGTAGTTAGCTAAGCCCAGGAACGAGCGCAACTCCGTCAGCGTACGTGGCGTGGGCCAATCTCTAATCGCTGCGATCTTACAATCCTCTGGTTTAGCGCCGTCTCCGTCTAAGACGTGGCCTAGGTATAAAACTTGGGTCTTTGCCCAATCGCACTTCTTTGCATTGATCTTGAAGTTAGCTTCCCTCAGCTTCTCCAAGGCCTGCCTGAGATGACCCTGGTGTTCTTGGAGGGTCTTATTAAACACTAAGATATCATCTAAGTAGACAATAACAAATCTATCTAACCATGGCCTAAACAAATCGTTCATACAGCGCTGGAACGTAGCTGGCGCATTGGTTAGTCCAAAGGGCATCACTATGAACTCATAGTGCCCATATCTAGTCTGGAAGGCTGTCTTATACTGATCACCAGGATGCACTTCTATCTGATGATATCCAGACTTCAAATCTATCTTGGAGAAATACTTCGCCCCCTGCACTCGATCTAAGAGATCGTCTATCCTAGGCAGTGGCTCAACATTCTTCACTGTAATAGCATTCAGACCCCTATAGTCTATGCACATCCTCAACTCTCCCTCTTTCTTGGGAACAAAGAGAACAGGCGCTCCAAAAGGAAACGAACTGGGTCTAATCCAACCCTTCTCGAGGAACTCGTCTAATTGCTTGCGAAGCTCCTCTAACTCCCGTGGGGACATCCTATACACAACGCCCTTAGGAGTTCTACTGCCAGACTCTATCTCAACGCGGTGCTGGATGGGCCGCGGTACCACTCCTATCGGCGGCTCAGTTAGGTCCTTGAACTCTTCCAGCAGCTTGGCAATCGCAGGGTCCATCGACTTTTCTTCCGTAGGCTCAGCCACTGGCCTAACAGAGGCAACAAAAACCTGTTCCTCCAATTTCTCCTTTTTCACTAATCTGGCGAACGCAGAGGGTCTAAGGCAGCAATGTGCCAAGGGATTCTCTACTCCTGACACATGGAACAGGCGGGCAGTCTTGGCCTCGCTTGAAGAACTAGGGAGCCTACACTCATGCTCCTTCAAATGGAGCGTGGCCCCGGCTGCCTCTCCCCAATCCATCCCCAGAACAATATCAAATGGGAGGCTGTCTTTTACGAGGAGAGTCAGGGAGTGGAGAACCTTCTCCACTTTCCCATCTTTCTCTAGGCGGAAATACGCCTGGACTCCCTCTACGTAATCCTCTACAACCATAGTACGATTGTCCGCGAGGATACTAACTATGGGGTCTGTTAGTTTCTGGACTTTAAGTCCCAACTTCAATTTCTGCAGCGCTTTCTTACAAATATAGCTGCGGGTGGCCCCTGAGTCTACTAGGGCCCCTACTCTACCTCTAAGAATCTTTGTATCTAGTAATATAAGCTGTCCTTTATTCTCTTTCTTCATCTTGGCCCAGGCGGGCACCCTCTCCTTCAATTCATCAGCCACGCCTATGAGGGAGGTGTCTAGAGAGACTCTAACACAAGCAGTCTTTGGACAGCGATCTAGACCAAGGCCTGCAACCTCTGCCATAGGCACATGTGGTGTGGGAGTCTCTTGCCGGCTAGCGCTATGTTCCCCACATGGCCTAATGGTAGGGGCAGTTGCTACCCGTACCGGCGGCTGCCTTTTGGCCCTTGAGCAGCCGTCCGGGTCTCTCTATACTTAGGACAGTATTTGATGATATGGTCCGGGTCACCGCAGAAAATGCACTGGCCCCGGTCCAATCGCTCTTGCCATAAGTCTTGGTCCAGACCCAAACTTTCCCAAGGTCTACCCTGGGGTAGCCCGGGGTGCCATCCTCCTACCCTATAGGGAGACCTGTTCCTAGGACGGTTTTGCGGGGGACCTTGGCCCCTTCCTCCCGCTTGGCGGTTTCCTCCTCTGCCGCCAACCCCCTGATCGCCTTGGAACCGGCTCCCTGAGGCCCGGCCCCCTTGGCCCTAGCCTCGTCCTCCCCCTTGTGGCCTCCCTCCAGCCGCGACAGCAGCGTAAGTTCTCCCCTGGCTCGCACCGCTGTCCTCCTCCTCTAACCCCCACTCAATCTGATCGTAGGGGATCTCATCCACACTACCCTCATCTAAAGTTAGGACAAGACTATCCTTAGTCTTCACTTGCCCGGAGATAGTGCGGCCCTTCCATTGCTTTCCCTTATCCAAATCTTTGTGCCAGAAGGTGGGGACTGACATAGACTTTGCCTCAAAGGCCACCACTTCATGGCTAAGGGAAATGTAAGTGGTGGCTAGGTCTTCGCTCTTCGCGAAGAAGTGCCCGCGAAAAACTTCGGGCATAGCTCTGTAAAAGAGGGCAACCAACTGGGTGTCTGTAACCCCGTGGTCAGGGACAGCTACTAGTTCGTTCATTGTGCTCTTGAGTGCCCTGGCGCTCTTTCACTTACGAGCGTGGATTGTCTGAAGCTTATCTGAGGCCTTGACACTGCGAGCAACATCTGCAAATCGCTCGCGCAACAATTTCATGAACTCAGCGAGGGAGGTGAATGACGGATAGGTAACTGCATCATCATTGCAGTTAGCGGTACGCACTAGGGACCTTGCAAAGCTGGCAGCTTCGTCTCTGAGCACATGGATCGCAATCAAGACATGCTGATCCGGGAAGACCTGTTGCAGGTGCACATAGGGCTTGACATTGGCCTCCCAATTGTTAAAGTTTTCTTCCCTCTTTCCAGTGTAGGAATCAGGGAACTTAACTTTGACTGGCTCCCTACGAGGACGCGGCTCGCCCTCCTTGGGAGCTGCCACCTTGACGCCTTCAATGGCGCCAACACAAAAACGCTCAGTCTTCTCGAGGCGATGATTCACCTCGGCTCCTACAGCTCCTACCAATTCGCGGGCAAAGTCCCGGAACCCCAGCTATGTCTTGACTTCGGCTAAACTCGTATTGCTGTTCTTGTACCCTCGCTAAACGCTCGACGCTCTGGGCAATGATATCCACCTTTTGTTGGAGGTCTACCTGGGGGGTCAATCGTAGAGTTCGTTTTTGCACCTCCTCCAACTCTTTAACCGCCTCACTTGCCGCCTCCACTCTTCTTTTCTTCTCTCTCATCATTGCCAGTTTCCACACCATCCTCGTTTCATCTTCCATCGCCTGCCGCTTCAGAACATCTTCTTCTTCTTCCCATTTCTTCATAGCGGCTTCCTGCTCATCCTTGRGGATATACATGGTTACCTCTTCGTCTTCGCCCAGGGATAAGTTGGCGACCCACTCCGAAATCCGTTTCTCCATTTCTTCATCTTTGCTGCCACCGTGCTGCCCTCTCCTCCGTTGCAGTGGCGTTTCATCTTCTTCTTCCTCTTCCATCTCTTTCAATTTCTCCTCTTCCTCCTTCTTCAACCTCTCCTTTTCTCTAGCCATCTCCTCCTCCATCTTCTTCAATTTTGCCGCCTGCTCCTCCTGCAGGGCCTTCTTCTCCTTTCTCTCCTGCAGGATGGCGGCCATCCTCTCCTCCTCCTCCTTCGTGTAAGGTTGGGTGGAAGTACCACCCCGAGTCCCTACTCTACACGTGAAGGTGGGCCAAAAGCCCATAGGAAAGAGGAGACGCCATAGGGTCCCCCAGAGGTTGAACCCCACAAGCAGCCCATACATCGGATAGTCATCCATCGTGGTATCATGTGCACGACAAGAGTCCCACTCCTTACCACTTAGACCTACCCGGACACTGACCTACTAACTGACTATCTAAGGTCACTCCTCAAAACTAAAGACTGTCACTACTGAACCAACAGCTGATCAGGAGGCATTTAAGGAGATCCCCCAAACTCCGCAAGAATTCTTTAATGTCGCAGTCAGGACGACGTGATCAGCGTGGTCCTTCCTGGCGATTTCAGCCCACAACTCAGCCATTCCGACCTACTGTGCCAAACCGAGCAGCTAGCCGGTCTGTACCGGTCCTTGAAGGGGTTCGTATCCCTCGGGACAGTAGAGTCGTCAGACACAGATCATCAGCCTTACTAGGTCCGGTAGGGGAGTGGTTCAATGCGGCATACTGCGTAGCCACACGGGCCCTGCAGGGCCCGTCCCGGACATTCAACCTAAAAACCTAAAACTTAGGGCTTACAGGCCCCGGTCGTTTCAGCCTGAAAGCCGAAAAACGAGGGCCTGCAGGCCCTACTCCGTTTCAGCCTATTTTTGGGTCTTTCAGACCCAGAGTTTTTCAAGCCTGAAACGGAGGGCCATTTTCAGGCCCTCATTGTTTCAACCGCCCCTAAGACTCAGGCACGAAAACAAGGTTTCAGGAATAGGCCAGAAATAGCTTGTTCCCACGACCTTGAGCAGGAGCTGCAGCGGCAGCCCCTGCCTCCGATCGGCATTGGCAAGAGCAGCCTTCTGGACTGCTCGCCTGCAGTCACGAGGCACCCGTGGTAGTACATAGGAGCTTCCCAGGCACTTCACGGGCAGGTAGTTGGAGTAGGCACGAGTAGTCTTCAGGATTCGGCCGCAGCACTCAGGAGGAGCGTTGCAGTAGTCTTCAGCGCTAGGCAGTAGTTAGCGCTAGTAGTAGTCTTCGGCGCTGGGCGCCCATAGCCATAGTGGTAGTCTTCAGCGCTGGGCGCTATGGTAGGTGGTAGATAGTAGAGTTGGGAGAGACACTTGCGGAGGCCAGTGGTACTTACCTGTGGCGTCATCGCCCCAGCTCCATCTGCGAGGTACCTGCATCGAGGCACCAACTTCACAGGTTAGTACTGGACACACAGAGAGAGAGAGAGTTCTTCTTCTTCCTCTTCTAAGTCCACCATCTCTTCTCACCCTCTCGCCACCCGACTTCTCAGACTACGACAGAGAGAGACAGAGTCGTGACTTGAGACTTGACGACATTGGATCCAGACTTGTCATTTGGGATTCAGACGTTTCGACGAGGGACTATTTGGGCYTGTGCCGAAGACTTGGTGTTGACGACATTCCCATCTTTCCCCTCCTCTTCGTCTCATCCCCCTCTTCTTCGTCTGTGCATGTATGGGGCTGGCGCAGTCTTCCTGTGTGAAGCGCCAGACCCCATTCACACCATGTAACGATGATGATGATGTATGTTCAGGGCTGCATTGCAATATT